GCACTAAAAGCCTGCTTCACCTCCTCTTGTGTCCAGTCAGCTGACAACTCTTCCGCCTCCCATGACCTCAGCGTCTTCTCTTGATCCGGACGCCATTTCTCCTCCAGTTGACAACGGTCTCTACCAAAGATGTCCGCAAAGAACGCAGACGCCGCTCGAAGGATACCTTGAGAATCGGAGACAACCCCGCTCGCCGTCTGCAGTTCGGCAATCTGAGTGCTCGCCTTCCTTGCCTTCACCATTGCCGTCAAATGCTACGACACCACCTCTCCTCTGAGCTCCATCCGCATACCCGACATCAGGTGCAGTTTTTCCTTGCACGATGCTTGGTATTCCCGCAACTGTGCTTCCTTCATTGCTAACAACGCACTCGTCTATTTGCAGGACGAATCCCGCATCATCTCTTGCCGAAGGTTTGCGATGACATCAACCATATGAGCCGCCGTCGCCTTAACACGATTTCCTTCTTCCTTAGCGAACGCACGAAGACCGGCGGCCAATCGCGAGAGCAACAACTCGAAGCTGCTGCCGTCAGTGACAGCGCACCTCTTCACCGTCGCCTCCACACTCTTCCGGACTCCTCTTTTATGGACCAATGATGCGTGAAGCCTCGAAAGCTCGGGACCGATGCTGATTTTGGCGTCGATTCGGAGAGCTATTCTAACCGCGAAACTGCGGTCTGAGATATAATCGGCCGGCATAACGTGGGAGGCTTGAATCAAGTGTGGTAGAAGCGAGTGGGAGATAAGAGCTCGGTCTATCCGCGTACTAACCTGCTGGGCCTGCTAAAAGTAGGTAAACTCCCGTTTTCTCAGATACAGCATTCTAAACGCGTCTGATAACTGAAAGGCACCACAGCATGTAACGAGCCTATCATTTTCAGCGGAAGAACCTAAGCGTTACGACTTATCTAACACTGTGTCTTCTATAATTTTGAGATCCCCCATGATGAGCAAGTGATTGGCTGGCAGAATCATATCAACTACCGGACCAAAGGTGTCACGCAGGAAGGCCGCGCATGAGGTCGGATTAGCCGAAAAGTAGTGGGCAATGACTCTGAGTTGCAGGCCGAGACCCTGGATCTCTGCTGAGAATAATCTACCTGAGGGGTGGACTAACACGTTGCTAAAGCTAAGGAGCTGCGATCTGCAAAGCAGGGTGTTAGAATGTAGAACTGAACGAGAATGTGTGAAACTAGGCAGCAGGGTGATACAAGTAGGAAACCCTAGCAATGTTGTACCCCCTAAGGCTAAACCCACTATAGCCTACACAATATGAACATGTATAATGTTTGACACAGGGCTACTCCGCCAGCCTTTGATCTAGGTGAGGTAGCTGCTGCTAAACTGTACCGTAAGTGGGGTGGGACCAGAGAGGATGGTCGGAAGCTATTCTAGTGTCTGAAAGGACTATGATATCTGCTGTTTGTCTGGACCAGTCTAGAACACGTTGCTGTTTGGTCTTATCTCCTAGGTCGTTGACGTTAAGGCCCGCGAAACTAACAAGGCTTTTCTTACTCATTTAATAACAATCTGAGAACCCCTATGCATCCACACGGTAAAGAGAAGAACGACACCAACTACTGAGAGGACTACCGCCGCTGCTGCTGCTTGTCTACCAAGCTGTTCTTGTTTCAGATCCCATAATCCTTCTTCGTGACGTTGAGGCTCGCCTTCCTGAGTGAAGCACGCGTGGCAGAGCCGAGTTGCTCCAGATGGATGAGGTGATTGGCCGACGTGACATGATCGGCTGCAGTCATGAAACTCCTTCCTTTGGCCTTCCCGCAGCCCACCTGCGTGCAGATCCACTCCTCCCGGTTCTCTCCAGTGGAGATGAGCACCATCGCCGGGTCCAGTAGGGTCGGAGTAATCAGCGGCGAGGCCGGAAGAGATGCGGCTGCATGGTACAACTTGGCGGTTAGCACAGGTAAGAACACAAAAGTGCGTATGTTCATGGTTAGGAAAGCGGTTACCGTTAATGCAATGGACCCTTCCCAAGGTAAGGTTCCACTTTCCTATGTTGTTTTGCCGCTCTGTTGTGAAAGCATCATGATTGACGGCATAATGCTGTCCACCGCAGAGCAGGCAAGACAGCGGTGGGAAGTGGACCAAGAAGCGACGGCCGAACTCCAGCGGGTCCTCAAAGACGTGCCAGCAGTAACGGTCACCAGGATGCGGGATCACCAGACCCTTGATGACATCGGTGTCAGCGCCAGTGACAGGGTGTAGGATGCGGTGAAAGCAGACGCCGTCCTTAAATGCCGACTGCTTCCGGTTCCGCAGCTGGTAGACCACCATTAGCTCGCGCAACATATCGGGTGTCTTGGTCGCAGGTACGTCACGAATCACCACTTCAATCGCATGAGCATTCGTCGCACGTTCCCTCACGAAAGTAGGGTCGTCAGTGTGTTGCCAGTAGACCGTGTCGTTAGGCCGCGTGTAGTCAACCTCCTTCGATCCGATGCTCATGATGTCGTCTTCGTGCAAGAGGGAGACCTGCAGGCGACTGTAGCGAGTCTTCGCCACGTACCGTACGCCGGTAGGAGTTCCTGGAACTTCGCCGAGTCAACAGCACCGTCGGAAATCGTGGATGACCAAACCCGCCTCATCAGGGTCCGCACCGTGGTAATGACAAACGCCACTTCCAAGGCAAGAGCCACAGGTAGCAGTAGAATCGCTGTGTAGCGAACACGGCTAAATGCTTCCGTCCTGACTTCCACTTCAAGCTCTTCGTCGGAGTCATCTTCAAGAAAACCGCTGTCAAGACCAGTCGTATGGAGAGAGCGCATCTTCTCCTCCAGAGAAAGACTAGAACCACTTGCTGTTGCCTCAGCGCGAGGCACATTGCTTGAGTCCTCCACCTTGCCCTTGCCCTTGCTTGCAGGATCAGATGGAGCAGGAGCAGGAGCAGGCGCAGGCGACGAGGACGGAGCATCCACCGTTGAAGGAGGAGCTTCCAGCGACGAGGCCTCCAGCAGCGCCTTGGACTTCCCCTTAGGAGGCATCGTGCGATGATGAGAAGAAAATGGCTGCAAATATGAAAAACAGACCACTGATGTCTGAGCTGATGCCATAGCTCTGAGCACAAACCAGTTAAATAGGTAGAATCTGGACGCATTAGACCAGTGTTCTTGTTGTTGGTGATGAGAAACCGAGGTTGAAGCCTCTGGATCATGATAGGCAATAGCCTTAATAGGACCCTTGTAGTCATTGTTGAAACGCATGTTGCTTAAAACAACAAGTCGAAACCTTGAAGTTAGTAGCGAGTCATAAGGAACCTTGACGTTAATTGCCTGACAGGAAACTGGATCTCGAGAAACGAAGGATACAACGTCCGACGTGTAGACATAAAAACAGTATCGATTGCTGCGCCTCGTAACGAGGAATCCAGATCTGAGGTCATTTTGTTCAACTGACACGGAACCTTCACGGGATCTAGGCTTGAAGCTGCGCGGTAATATCCATGGCGGACTCGTGATCGGGTGGGATGGTGGAGAGACTGAAAGTATTTACCTTTATAAGTGAACGCCAGTAGGTTTCAAAGGCATATTGCCGCATCTTCTGACGCGGAAACCATGTACCCATTCATACCCCATGAGGAAGCTGAATTTTGTTCCCCTCCGACAGACCGCGATAGGCGCGCACCTGCGGGTCGTCTGTTCGCAAATTCTCCTGAAGGTTCACCTGATGTGATCCTCCCTCCCCTGCAAGAACCTCCGTCAATCTAGTTCGCACGAGTCACACCCAGTAACTCACCCCAGCATGTTTCGTGGAACGAGTTTCGCCATGGTGACTCAGGCATCATGCGATGGGTTTGGGAAAGTCCTTTCATGTGAACAGTGCTTGTGTTGAAGAGACTCCGACGGTGCCAGCAACAACCATGTTCCACTTCAGCTGTTTTTTTTTCGAGATCAGGGTTTCAAGACCTGCCCCACTACTGCAACCAAGCGCAAATTTCGGCGCCCTTCAGATCACTGAAACCAACTTATCTAACCTGACCGCATTCTCCTCCAGTCACACACCCAGGTTCGCAGGTGTGCGTGTTGCCTGCCCGCAACACCACATCACCACAACAACAGCCAATCAAGCATAGCTTATCAAACTCATCCTGCCCGATGTGGTTGGCTTCATCCCTCCCAACCCCCTCTAGCCTCTCCATTTCATGACCCTTGCAGCATTCTAGGAGGATTCCTCCTGCACTCACGGCGGCAATCCAGGCGGTGGAGACCTAACATGCAGTCAGACGTGTTTTACTAGTCTCGCCAGCGCGTCTTCTCAGACAACCTAGTCCGTCTTCGATTGTTCATGGTTCCTGTTAAGGAAACGCAAAACTTCCTGATTTACCAACTGGTCGTCGCAGTCAGCCATTCCATCCCTACGGCATCAAGCAACGCAGAAAGTCCCTCTTCCGCAGACGAAACATATAGATACCGAAGGTGGAACCCCGCCGCGTAGGCTGTGTTACTCCGACCTTTACGGCATGCGTTGCTCGCCGCAGTAGCCCATCGTTAGCACTGGTTTTGGGAACATATTCACTGTTGCCATTCTATCAATCCTAGAAGAACAGCTCAGCGCACGGCATAAATCCACGCGGCAGGCAACAGGCCTGTGAAAACGCCTTCTTTATTTCGCGCGCCATGACGACACGCCGTGCGCAGCCGCGTGGCGTTCCTCTCTCGCTACTCGTCTGCCTCTCCGTCGCTCTCGCGCTCTCTCCCGCCCACGCCTTCGCACCCTCAGGTATGTGCCTCCCGCAGTGTGCTTTAAGTCGTCTTACTACTCTTCTTTACCTGTTTCATAAAAGAAAGCAGGTTCCCCCATACACCTGCTCATATGAAGCATTTTCGCTTTCCGTCTCGCCCTCCCACTCGCACCTTCCACTCGCACCCTCCGCTGTGGGCTTTCACGGTTTGTCAAGTGATAGCCCGGGCCCTATTCGAACCTGCTACTTCCTCCCATTCTCCCATCGGCTCTCGTCGCTTCTCCCCCACGCCCCCACCTATGCCTTCCCCGTCACCTTCTCCGTCTCCTCCTTCGACCCTTCCTCCCGTCCCCCGCTTTTTCCCCGCATCCCCCCCGCCTTCGCCCCTCCTGTCCACCGTCTCCTCTCCTCCTCCGCCCCTTCTGCCCGCCGTTTCCGCGCCATCTCCGCTCCATTCCCCCCCACTATTCACGCCGTTCTCCCCCGCCGTCCTCTTCCGCAGACGTAGCAAAGTACCGCGGACTCTTCTGGCGCTTCCTGGATCAATGGCCGTCATTGACGCGTCCACGTCAGGATGCTGTTGACCTGGACTCCTCCGTCGCGCACGACGCGGCAGTCCCGTCGCTGTCGTCTGCTTCTCTGTTCGCGGCGGGCAATGAGACCTGGGAGTCGCAAGCGGAGTCGCAGAAGCAGGCGGAGTCGCAAGGGGCGTCGCAAGCGGAGGGAGCTGCCTTGAAGCGTCCCACCGTCGCTGCCGGAGTGAGCGCTTCGAGAAAACGGCTGGCACACGTGGCGCGCGAGGATATTCAGATGGGGCGCAGGCGGATGGGTGAGTGCTGCTGGATTTTCTCAGAAGGAAACACCTTTCGGCTTTCGCCTTGCGCCTTGCACCTTTCCTCCCTTACGCTCGCCTTTCCGCCCTTCTGCTCGCCTTTCCGCCCTTCTGCTCGCCTTTCCGCCCTTCCTCTCGTCAGCTTTTCCGCCCTTGTCAGGGGCGACATTCGCAGTACCTCGACTCGCTCATCGGGATTCTTTCCCCGTTTTTCCACTCACAACTCCACAGCCCAACTGACCTTTCATAGCACGATTTTTTCCACATTCACCTTGAACTGTCATTCGTATTTCCAACATAGCCTTCAACCAACGAAACCCCGTTTATGTCACAACCCCTATTTTCCTGCAGCTGACGCCTTTTTGGATGGCCCCTGCTCCGACTACGCAGTAGCTACCGTTATCAACATATCCACTGTAGCTGATTTCAGCAAGCGATTACAGTTCAGCCCCGTTACAACGGTCATTCTGGAGCTGCAGAAGAACCTTTTTATAAGCAAGGGGATCCTGTTCGACAGCCAGTTTTCGTGCACCATTTTCCGATCAGCGAAAACCGCCGCGACTCCGTTTGTGATCACTCATACCGGAGCGAATGAGCCAGTATTGCGTATTTGGAACACGAGCAACGTGCTTGTATTGAAGATCGATTTCAAGCTCAGCGTTCGCACGTCGTCGCCATCCTGCACTACAGTACCCGAAGTTACGTCCAAAGCACAGTGCCCTACAATTTCCATTATCAGATCTTACGGAATTCAAGTCGCGAAGGGGAGTGTATTTGGAAGAATTGATCTTCATCGAACCATGTCATCGCGAGTTGACTCCATGAGGGTAACCGGAATACCCATCTTCAACCAGTCGCCTGGCGTGATTCAAGTTACGTACAGTGGCCACGGGCCTACACTCGGCAAATCCTTCATCGCTATAACGAACAACGAAGTTTACGGTGAGTGAATGGATAAGTTCGTGTTCTCATTTTCCGTGTACGTGTGTTCACAAGCACTACGCTAGCAGTGTGCAAGTTACCGAGTAACGTGTCTTGTCCCCCCTCCACCCCACAATCCCCTTCTTCGCGGGCATCCCTTACAACTTCTCCACGCATTTCCACACCCCCCCACCTTCTCCCCTCCCCACCTCGCAGGCGTCCACACGCCAATCGTCATCCACCGCGGAACCATCGGTGCAATCGTGCGAAATAACTACGTGCACGACTTTCTCTTCGCGGGAATTCGCTGCGGCTCCGACGTGCACTTCGCCGCAGATTGCATGCTAACGCAGATCGACCGAAACCACGTCGTCGCTGCCGGGCGAAACAGATCCGGCGACCAGGACGCAGCTGGCATCTACTACTGCGTGCACTGGTTCAGCCCTGGTACGGCCAGGTTCAGTTCCGGTGGGGTCTGGTGCATTCGTTGTACGGAGGTTGAGTCGACCCAATGAAGACTGCATGCTCCTCCATCAATTAGCTCCCTGATATCCGCCCGCCCTTCTATCCCCCTCCACAGACAACAGAGCAGAGTGCATTTACATCTTCAACTGAGACCACTGCTACTACCTTGATATCTGAGGCGCTTCGTTATTAAACTCCCTGTTATCCTCCCTCTCTGGCCACCTACACCCTCCACAGACAACACGGCGGAGTGCAATTACATCTTCAACGGAGACCACTGCTACTACCTCGATTTCGTCACCTCGGGTGTGACTATCAAGGGGGGTGCATGCATCAACACGTACGATGGGATCAAGGTCAACAATGGAAAGTGGTACGTGCATTTATCAGTCTCATCCTTCTATTAAGTGCGCATTCCTGTGCTGATGTGACTAAAAAGGTCTGATTTTTCTGAAATGAATCGCTTTCATGTTTTGATGTGTCTGTTCCCTTTCGTTCAGGAATTCTATTGAGAGTGTGATCATAAAGAAGGTACCGGGCTCGCCAGGGTGGAGTACGTGTTTCACACCGACTGTGCTCAACTGCGACAAGAACCCCGGCACATACTGGGAGCTCATGCGGAAACAGTACTACGACACGCCAGTGTTCAGAGAGGTGAGGCGTGAGCAAGTGAGGAGCATGAAAAGATATGTGTAATGCACGTATTGGGAGCTCATGCGCTAACAGTATTACGGCACGCCAGTGTTCAGAGAGGTGAGTAACACCTGGAAATACACCTGAGAAGCGCCTGAGGAAACAACTGAGAATCACCTGAGGAAACACCTGAGAAGCACCTGAGAATGTGAGTCAGTGTTGAAGTCACCAAGAGGCACATGCAAGCAGTGGAAATGACATTCCAGTAGATTGAGAGGGAGCAACAGTCGGCGGTTCAGTTTCATGAGGGCTAAACCCAGCCCTTGTGGTGGTATCTGTTGTTTTTATAACAAAATATGCTCACATCGCATGTTCTTTGCCACCCCAATTGTATATGATGCAAAATGATCATTTGCAATAACTAAGCATGTAAAATGTGAGTCACCCTTCTTTTGCCTTTTTTTACTCACCTGCTTTCTTCACTTTTTTTTTGTCTGCCCCTCCTTCAGAAATACCCTTTTTGGCCTGACGTTTGCGGGCAGACGAACATCAATGGCAAGCCATGCAACACCAAAGCCAAGGGAACGTTGCCTGCAGAGAAAACAGGGGCATGCAGCGGCCTCCCCACAGAGAACTACCAAAACCTCGTCCTGGTGGAGACTGAAGGGAGGGATCTTGGCTACAAGTACTGCGAAAACTTGCCTACTGTGGAGGCGGGTCCGTTGAATGATCAGAGGGGGGTGAATCTTACCGACATTCCCGGGGCAAAGTTTATGGATTACGCAAATGATGACCTCGGAGTGAATACAGGCTCATCTCTCTTCACCAGCATCAATGGTTTTAAAAGCTGCCCGAGAAAAGATGTTGGGCCTCGGCGGATCGACGACGGGTTCTACTATTTGAATTTCAACCGCCCGGAGCCTGATCTGTACAAGCTGGTGGTGAGCATGGCCATGACTCACGTGCATGACCCTGCTATTGTGAAGCTGAGTAAGATTCCCAAGAAGAAAGGGAAGAAGTGAGTGTTGCTTGCCAGTGACTTCGATGTATACTACTGGGGCAGACTAGGGAATGCGTGCTGGCTGGACGGGAACTTTACAAGCTGGTAGTGAGCATGTCCACTACTCACGTGCATGACCCTGGTATTGTTAAGCTGAGCAAGCTTCCTAAGAAAGGGAAGCAGAGAGGATAGTGTTGCAGAGTTCTTGTTGTATACTGTTGAGACAGACCATATAGAAATGTATGCTGGCTGGACAGGCGGCACTGTACGAGTTGTTGCGGAGGGACAGTAGTGTCTTCATAACCCTGTTGTAAAGCTGGGTAAGCAGAACAAGGGATGTCTACTGAAGAGACACACTAGATGGAAAATGATTTTTGGCTGGCCCTATAACCTAATAACTCCAGCAGCATGGAGATGGGAGATAATAAAGAGTGGTCTATATTTTGTGCGTAGTACCATAAATTTCACATTACAATACATTGACATGGCAGTCAATTTCATATACCGTCTCAAAACACCAACCTGAATCCCTGGAACCAAGGCGGACTTTATGTTCGCCTTAATATCAAAGCAATAACTGCTTCTGGGTATCTAATTAGCTCTCCCCCCCTTCCCCTTTTTCAACGCAATGTTGGTAAAAACGAGGGACACGAAACTTCGCCCTTGCAAAGTCACTGTAACAGAAGACTTACCTTTCGATATAAGCGCTTCAGCGTACGATTCTTGCCAAGTCGTCCTGTGTGCAACCACCCTCGTTGGATTCCCCACATTCGTCCTGAACCCATCCAATCCGAAGTTCAGCTTCACTTTATTCGCCTTCTGGTTCACGAAAAACACGCTGACGAACATGTACTTTTCGTTGTAGAAAGCAGCGACGGAATGCCAGCACGAGAACGGGACTCTCAGCGGCCTGCTCCCCTGCGGTGCATTTTTGGAAAATTGCTTGAAAACCCAGTAACGCTTCGGCAACACAATCCCTTGATCTTGCAATTCGGAAACTGCCTTTCTTAGTGGATACTCCCAAGGGATCTTGATCAACGTCCATCCATCGCTTGGATCCACAGCTTGCCAGTAGACATACGCCGAGGCCTCGAGAATATTGATGCTTTCAATGACTTGCCGGGCCACGTACAGTGTTATGTCAAACGGATGTCCCCCGAATCCGATTGGCCCGCCTTCTGACACCCAAACCTCCTTCTTCATCCGCTTAGCCATGTTCCGCATCCGAGCGTACCGTATGTTTGTCCAGCGAGGGTGAGATACACCGTCAGGAGGTGTCCCCAGATAAGAATGAATGTTGATCCTCTCGAGTAACATTCTCCCAGCTACTTTGGGAAGAAACTTGGTCGTGTGATGAGACCAACTGTCCACTCCAGCCAGCTTCGTTCTAAGCCCCCTCGATTTAAGAGCCATGGTGGTTTTCTGAATCGCCCGTCCCATTTCAGGAGGCTGGAAGCTGCATCCCTCATGCGCAGCGCCTGTCTTCCAGAACCCTTCTAGCGGCTCGTTAAAAGGGTCCACTGTATCAAACGTAAGGTTCCACTTCGGATCTTTGGCGAATCGGTGCACGACGTCTGCTAAGTAGTTCGCGAATGACGTCTCGTGCTCCTGCCGCAAGTTGGTCTGGGTTGCTACTGCGGCTCCTGCCACGTCACGCGTGTAAGTCATCCACCATGGAGGGCTGTTAGAGAAAGCTTCGAAAATATTCGCTCCGCGACTCCGTGCCCCCCTAAGTACGGCCTTCTGACGTCTGTCTGCTTGCCAGTTGTAGGCTCCAACTGGTGTGGGTTTGAAACCTGGAATTCCCCGCCAGTCCGTAGCTGTTCCCGTGAGGAACTGGGGACTAAAATGCGCGTTGAAACCCCCTCCGATGTTATAACGGACGATGTTGAAGTTGAGTCCCTCTTTTTTGAAAATCAAATCCATGAGCGTGTTGAGGCGCTTATTAGGCAGTCCGCCGACGTAGTTCCCGAACCTGCATTCAGGGAAAATAATGGGTTGTTGAAGCGTTAGACAGTACAAGTTACTTTATGCTTGTCGCATTCTCGTGCTACAAAATGCGAGCAAGACTTGGGGGTGTGAAGCATGCCCTACGTTCGTGTCACGACACGACGACTTAAATAGCCTTTTTTACTATTATTTTCTCTACCAACATTTTGGCGAGACTGAACCTCAACAATATTTTTAGCATACCATGCGAGTGATGTCCCCCATCCTTTCCATCTGGTGCCGATGAACGTCGGAGTAATGTTGAAGGCAATGGGTCCTGCACATTGGTAACGGGAAAACACAAGAGACGAGGGGTGAGGAGGGCAGGGGGAGCTAATCAGCGCTCGACTTCAAGTTCCTTCTTTCTTCACCTCAGTAGAAGCAATATAATGCAAACGATCGGATTCTTAGTCTTAGTCCTACCAACGGCGCACGTCAAGTGTAGATAAAAAAGCCGAAATTCGACTCCGGACAACTCGGCAGTCGTTCACATTTTCGTTCCCCCCTCCGGCCTGGCTGATCTTGATTGCTGACACCTTAATACCAACCGGTGACACCTTGAACTGTTCGTCCACACCTCAGCGGCTACCACCATTTCACGTAAGACAACACCCTGATCCAATCTCTACTTTCGTCACGAGCTCACCTTTCACGTAGCACACTTCAAAGAGCCCCTCGGACGGACAAAGCGTGGGGAACGGCGGCCGCGGATAGATCGTGTCGTTGACAAAGGGTGCGTTTCTGGCTAAGCATGCGTCCATGGACGATTGCGCGCCGTTCGGTGTGATGGCATTAGTGAACGTTGCGGTTGTACCAGCTGTCATCGACGGTGTTCGCAAATGCGGTTCCGGAACGTGAAACGGCAACGACCAGGAAGAGGAGGAGGGCTGGCAGGTTGCGGATCGCGAAAGGCGGGATGGACGGATGCGCTTGGGAATGGGAACGTGAGCGAGCAGACATTGTGTGCGGTGGCATGGTGGATCGTAAGTAAGATGAATCGGACGGGTCAGCGAGGCTGCTGATCGCTGGAGCACTTTCCGCTTTCTACGGCAATGCGAATCGGCAGTCGGTATGGGCAGTCCGTACAGTTAGTCGGTTCATCCTCGGGCGTTAGGAGCTGGCAGCTGCGAGGCACAGCTTTCCCTTAGGACTAACCGCACACCGCACTGCAGATTTTCCTCCAGGTGCCTGAGAGCTAAGCACAACAAAAAATGGTCCGTCAATTTCGTTTGAACCGAATGGCGAGTTACGTGGGCGTTGAGGGGCACTTAGGGATGATCAGCAAGATGATGTTTGTTGGCGGCTGGCTGACCCACTGGCAGTGCCACCACCAAGAGGGAAAGTGGGGAGGAGGGGAGGAGGCGGAGGCACAACAGTGAATCTGGGAAATACAGTGCTGCGCTTTGCTGTGCTGTAAATTGAACTAGAGGTGGGGTGGGGTGGAAAGGGGTCGGGGAAACACCCCCGCCACCTGGCTCGCTCGTGTCCGCAGGAGCGGAAGAAGCTTTGAAGTTGCACGCGTGCGGGATGGCAAAATTGTGGTTGGTGGATGGAGGCATACATGATGCAGTTGGGGGGAGGAGTGCATGAGGTGAGGTGAGGGGGCGATGTGATCGAGACAGGCGACCGGCGAGAACACAGGTGAGGGGGGGAGGGCGGCGGGTTCGCCGAGGCGCTTCCCTCCCTCGACTGCATCGTGCGGTGATGATGCCAGGGTGAGGGTCGATAAGGAATCGGGGTGGATCTGGAACGTCGGGGGAGGGGCAGGAGGGGCTGAATGAAGACATGCTGCGGATTGGCGGAAAAATACAGTGGGCTGATTGGCTAGTTTGAGTTTGGTGAGTGCGCGCGGGGGGGTTGTTTTCTTTCTAGCGCGCGGGATTGGGCGCTGTAAGTAATGTGTGCTGGGGAGGGGGAAAGGTAGGAAGACAAACATAGAGGGAAATGGAGCGGAAAGGTGAGGCAGGGCTGGCCTTGTCTTCCAATTGACAACGATGACCGCAGAGTGCGACTCGGTAGGGAAACAGCAACAGTGCGGCAGCGCTTTGTGGGGATAATCGGGACATGGGAATGGTGGGGAAGAGCGCAAGTGATGCAGGAAGGGAAAGGGGGTGCGGGCGGGGAAGGTTGCTGTTGTTGAGGCAGAGGCGGAAAAGCAAGGGCTGGAACGAAAAAGCAAGGGCTCGAGGGGCGCCGGGGAATGCCTTGACATGAGGAATAATCAATCCACGACGGCGTGTGACTCGGCTTGCATGGATTGCTGATGGCATACACCTGGCGGTCACAGGAGGATGACATGGCAACGTACCAGTCGGTGTCGTGACAGAAACTCCTGGAGCATTGATTTGAGGGAGCGTCAGTAAAGAAGTGTACAGTTTTAAACGTAACCATATACAGAGGAAAAAAAGAAAGTGACTTACCTCTGAAAGCACTCCCTATCACCCTACCATTAGGCAGCACATACCAAGTGCCCGATAGAAGATGTATATGTTAGTAAGTGCGGAAAAAAACAATAATTAGCCATGATTATCGAAGATTTGGGTGGATAGGAACGACATCCGGTTCATACAATACTAGAGAGCCAAGGCTAATGCGCGACGAGCAGGGAACGCATGAATTGACATGTTGATAATTCTCTTGACATTTTGGGGAGCGAATCCAAATGAGAACTCTGGAAACCAAGAGGAACGGCTCCAATATGATGCGCATGATTTCAGGCACGAACCTGGTATCCACCACAATTTTAGATGCTACGAATGTTTAAAGAGACACATACGATTGGCAGACCGAGTGCCAAAACTTTATAAATGGTACATGATGGGGCCGAAATAGCGAGGCGCATTGTAAAACCCTAAACAACACCGTCAAATGTATACTGCTGCTTTAGGAGTGCATTGGCCAAATCCACCACTAAGAGACTCTTACATGTCAATTTCCCTCTATCCAGGGCGTAGAGTGTGTTGTTAAAGTAACGAACAAGAATGAATGAACTAGGAAAGAGTTGGGTACAAGTACTAACCCTAATTGAGTTGT